CCCCCCCCCCGCAGCCCCCTAGAAGGGGGCTGGTTTTTGTTGGACGAGGCTTTTTTCTCTTTTTCTTTGGATAATTTTTGTTTCACAAAAATTATCTTTCTTTTTCTCTTTTGGGCTAGAAAATAGCCCCTAACGGGGATATATAAAAATTAGGTGGAAGTTAGGGACGGAGCCCGGAAGTCGGAAAAATTTTTAAGATTGTTATATTAACCTTTTGCGGAATTTAGCGAAAGGTTAGAACAAAGCAAGGTTTTTTTTTTAGGGAGGAGTTGGAATATTAAGACAATCGGCAGTCAGAGGACTTGGCGGTGGTTTTTAATAAAAAACTCTGGCGAACCTTGGGCGGTTGGCTTGGGATTCGCTTCCGAAAAAAAGAGGGGAGAAAAGGACGACTTAACCACAACAAAAAAAATAAATCAAAAGTTAAAAATATAATATAACAATTGAGAAATTCAGTTGTTAATGGTTTAGTTGGGTTTTTTACTTAACGGCTGGTTGTTTCATTTTTTCCTTCCAGTCGTGGGTTTAATCCTTGATTAATTTCCCAAGTAGCAAGGTTGTAAAGTCTTGCTAGTTCGGAAATCAATCCGGAATTCCTACTTTTAATTGTCAGGGGGAGACCGTTTTTTTTTTTTTTTTTTGCTGAAACCATGGTAATGATGGTTAATTACCGGTTGTGGGTTGGTGTTTGGTGATAGTAAATTTACTGGATTATTGGTTGGCATTGGTGGTGAGAAATGTCCGGCTTGAGTTGGTAAAGAAGGGCCGTGTCCTTGATTGAGTAAAGAATTAGCGACCGCTACGGCTCCGGAGGTTCCGCCGGTTTGGACGGTCAAATAAGCCTTAATGGCTCAACCAATACCCGCTAAAAGAGTAGGCACTACGGTCATAAATCCGGTTAAGGCTAAACCAGTGCCAATTTTATTGGCAGTTCACCGGAAGGGAGAAGTCACCAAATTTAGACATTTATCTCCGGTTGTGGGGATATAGTGTTCGGTAGTGACTTTTACCCGAACCAGATTGTTAACTGCTTCATCCAAATTTTTACCTTTCTTGCTGTATGGTAAATTGGTGTTGATTATGCCTGTTAAGCGAGTTTTTTCTTTTGCGTAGTTTTCTTTCTCTCGGCTTAATTCCAAGTTAGTGCGGCCAATTTCGGACTCTAATTCGTTAATTTGGTTAGTTAATCGGTTTTGCTTTTCCAATAAGTTATCAATTGCTCGGGTGAGGGTTTGGCCTTTTTCGGACGGAGCAAAAAGCCGGTTTTCTAGTTTGCTATTAACTTTGTTGCGAAGGTTGTCGTCTTGTTGTTGAACTTGGCTCCAAATTTGGTCTTTTTGTTGGGTTAGGGCCTCCTGTTTTTGTTTTTCAAAATTGGCTAATTGAGTTTCTAGTTGCTGGATTTTGGTTTGGTGGTTAGCGAGGGTTTGTTGGAGTTGTGATTTTTCTTTTTGGAAGGTGGCGGTTAGGGCGGTTTCTTTATTTTTTAGTTGTTCGTTGACTTGTTCTTGAATAGTTTCTTTTTTTCGGGTGAGGATGGAAATTTTGGTTTGGCTTTGTGCGAGTTGGTTGGTGAGTTGGGAAGTTTGTCTTTCTTTTTCATTAAGAAGTTGGCTAAAAAACTCTCTCTTCGAAAACGGAAGGCCAATTATATTGATTATTTCTTGTTTTCCCGCGAGGGCTTTGTTAATGATTTGCTTAATTTTTTCCTCATTTTTTTCTATTGTGCTAGTATAGATGTCCCCACAGTTTTGAAATCCTTCCTTCGCAGCCTTCAAAATTTCGTTTTCAAGTTTTTCGTTTTTTCCGTGGGTTAGTCGGTTGATAATAACTACATTACGAGCCAAGATTTGGTTGGCTAAATTGTCTAGACAAACGTTATCTAGACACAAAAATTTCCCTTTTCCTCCACAGAATTTGTGATATTCTACATTGCCTATCTTTGAACAATCGTAATCTTTCACTCATTCTTCTAAATCGGAAAAATCAGTGAGTTTTCCAATATTTTGAGAATAAAACTTATTTCCATCTTTGTGCAGTTTTTTTCACGTTTTTTCTTTTCATTCTTTTCAATTGGGAGGACATTTGACAGATTTGATTGGGTTATCAAACAATTGCAGATAATCGAGTTTCAAGTTTTTGCTAAGATCGATGCTTGTTAACTTGTTAGATCTAACTTGTATCAGTTCTAGATTAGTGAAATCACCCAAGTCTAAATTACCTACTAAATTTTTCCCTTCCGCTATGATTTTCGTAATGCTTTCCCTTTTCCATTTCGGATAATTTTCATCCAACCATTTTTGAGCGTCAACCATGATTATTTTATATTTTTATTATTTTATTTTATATTTTTATTGAATTTTCGTCTCTCTCTCTCTCTCTCTCTCTCTCTATTTTGCTTATTAATTGAAAATAATTGTAAAGTAAGGATTTTTAAGTATGATTAACGACAAATTAAAATTAGCAAAAAGAGAGAAAAAATTACAAAGTTTTTTAGGAAAAGTGGTGGTTAACAAACAAGAAAGAGATTATAATTTGGCAAAAAATATTTATCGTTTAGATGTTAAGTTGGAGGATGGAGATGGGTTAAAAGAAATAAGCGTTTTTCCTTGAAAAGTAAACGAAGTGATTTGGAATCAAGTGGCAAGTAATGATTGTGTTGGCAAAAAATATTTATTTTCTTGCGAGAAAGTTATTAATTCTCTACACCTAAAAACCTGAAAAGAAATTCCCAAAGAATAACTTTTACCTATTCTTTTCCACTCAATCCCTTTTTTTCTCCTTGGTGCTTTCTAGCGTATTGTAAAGAGCATTGTAAGCATCTTTATAAACTTTCTTTCATTCCGGACTTTTCCAGTCTTTTTTAATTCCGGTTTGTTTTTCTAATTCGGCAGTATCAACTTTAATTTTTCCAGGGCTGTCAAGTTGCTTTTTCTCTTTTTTTTCTTGGGGGGTTTTCTCTCCGGATGATTTTCTTGCGGGGGCTGGTTTTGGCTCGTTCGTTTCATTTTTTTCCTTTCCGGTTGTGCGGAGGTTATTAATGATTTCGGTGATGTTTTGGCTCCATTCTTTTATTTCATTCTGAAACAACATTCTTTCATTTTTTTCTTGGTTAATTAGTTCGTAAATTTGCGTAAATTTTTCCTCCCCTCAAATTTGCTTTTTTGGGTTTACCATTTTGGGCTTACTAGTAAATCCTTTTTGTGGGTTTACATTATTGTCATGTGTAATGCCTTTTCTTTTGGCTCGTAATTTCGCCACACTCTTGCGTATAGCCTCGCGTCTTTTGTTAATATCTTTGTAGGGCATAATGGGTTTACTTTTATTATATATTATATGTTTTAGGTAATCCCTGGTAAACCTCTTTATGTAAATCCCTAATGTAAACCCTAAATCTGTCAAAAATGCCGATAATTAGAAACCGGAAAATAAGCCTATGGAAAATTTACGGCAACCATTTACCAATTTACCAAAGCCAAAAGCACCAAAACTTAAACCTAAAATTGTCGAACTGGAACAAGCCACCGGCCTAAAAAATGACTGAAAAAACCCGGCTTGGAAAAAGGCCTATAAGGATAAATACAACGAAATTTATAATCGTTTGCCTTCCACTATGGAGAAAAAGCGTTTATGGAAGGAAGGACGGAAATTAGGGAAGGGGAAAAATAATTAAGTTATGTAAAAGCATAATTGTTATGCCATTAGTGATTACAAAACAGACCTTTTTTAATACACTTTGTGGCTGTTTTTTTCTTTCCCTTTATGCCTTTTGAGGATTTTTTTTAGAGTGAAAATTTGGATATTTTGGATTTTGGATGGAAGCGTTTAAGCAAGACATAAGGTTTTTAAAGGAATCTCCATTAATATTTCTAATGTTTTTTCTATTCTTAATTGGTGCGAGAGGTGTTCCGTTTTTTTTAACTTTTTATTGTTTCTTTATTCTCCCCCCTGTTTTTTTTGTTACTTTACCAACCAAACTTTTCCAACTAATTAATGAAAAAATGGGGATAATTGCCTACTGGAATCGAGGGGAAAAAAATCTAGTTACCGTAAAAAAATGACTGAATTTTTCTCGTTTTATTGAATACCTTACTCTTTTCTTTGGCTTAACTAGTGCTATTTTGGCTTTTAAGTCTCAATCTTACGCTGCCGGTTCCATAACAATAACTAGTGGAGTAGTAGGAATAACCAACAGAGCGTTTAAAGATTTTGTTTTAGAACCGATTAAAAACGGATTGGAACAGTTAGAAAATGTTGAATTAGGAGGAATAACTGATAATTGAGAAAGAACATTATCAGTCATCAGCAATAGCACTTCTGTTTCTTATAGAACCGCTCCAAGCTTTTAAAATATCGTTATAATACATTTACCATGCGAGAAATAATAATTGTCAAAGACAATATTCCCAAAATAAAAACTTTTTTGGAGCGGGAACAAATTAACTACGAAATTCAGCAAGAACCCAAAAATTTGCCGAACGAAAAATTACTGGAATACTTAGAAACCAAGAGTAAAGAAAATATTTTCGCTGATTATGACGAAGCCCTGAAAGATAAAGAACTTGAAGCCGAAAAAAGATTATTAGAGGAAATGGACGACGAGGAATGAGACGAGTAATGATTGAGAAAGTAAAGAAAGGCGAAGTATACTTGTATCGGGTTAGCCGTAAAGAAACCGAAGGCACCGAAATAATGAAAACGCGGTTAGGCGTTATTTTTTCTACTAATGAACTAAACCGACGAAATAGGCGTTTTATTATTATTCCTCTCACTAGTAAAAAAGCAGATCGCATTTATGACTACGAAGTTTCTACATTAGTCGAAAAAGTTAGAGGGAAAGCCCTAATCGACCAGATAAAAACCATTAATCAAAGCCGTTTATTAAAAAAATGCGATGAGTTAAATCCGGAAGAAATGGACGCCATTCACGAAAAATTATTAAGCCTTTTTGATGGTTGAGAATATTTGAAAAGAAAAATAAGTTCTTAATTTTTAAAAACCTTTTCGCCTATTGCGTAAAATTAGACTATGAAAAAATTTCCCACGGCGAAAAATCCCCTTGTGATTCAGCATAGTCTAATTAGCGTCCGTAAAGTCTTAGCCGAATTAAGTTGCGAAATAGAGATGGGAAATTTAGTGGCCCGAAGGCGAGGTAAACAAAACAAAATACCCGCTTTACCCTTTCGTGTTCTTGGTCCTTTGGGCGATTTCGGGGTTGGTTATTATTCTTGATGCTTTTCTTGCCTTAAATTCATTAAAGAAGCCGAACGGCATTATCACATTAAAAATCGTAATGATGCCCGCTTTTGAGGCTTACCGGAGAAAAAGGCTTTATGCGGGAATTGCTTGGGAAAAAGATTAGAGGAGATGCCTCAGCGTAAACGCTATTTATGGGAAGAATATAAAAAAAGGGGCTATTGAGAAAATGAGTGATAATTACGCAATAGGCGAAAAAGAAAAGCTTTTAAACATACCCCCTTTTTAAATACTTCCGTAAAACCTTTTTCCTCTCCCTACTTATTACTTCGTAATACTTATTTTTCACACACTCCAAACAAAGAATTTTCTCCTCCACTTCCAATCCCCAAAACACGGGATTATTGCGGTTTTTGGCTCGTCCGTTCCGCAAAGACCCCTTTAACTCTTTCGAACAATTCCCGCAAATAAAAATTTCTTGCCTCTGCTTATAAAACCCGACCGGACGATAACCCCCAGCTTCTTTCTCATATTGCCTTTCCTCCAACTTCACCCCAGTTTTTATTTTCTCTCGCTGATTGTTTTCCTTGGCAGTTTTTTTCTCTTGCTCCTCGGTTTCGCCAATTTCCTGTAAATACTGCTGGCGATAATATTCCTGCCATTCTTCCTTCACTAACTCCACCATTTCCTCATAACCAAAGTCATGCGTGCTGCCGTAAAGGTCAGTTAAACGGCAGGAATATTCACCAGTGTCTCACGGCTCAATTAGGTCAAATTCCCCTTCTCAATCCAAATTTAAAGCGTGTAATCGTCCACAGCCTCCGTGCCATTTCGGACAGCGAATTTCCCACTCGTCCAAATTTCCGCCCGCATTCGGCGGAAAAAAACTAATCAGCCCTTTTTTTAGTTCTCCCTCTGCTTTTCTTTTCATGACTTTTCTCGTGTGCGTATGGTGTCTTATTTCTCGGTTGTTAAGTCGGTTCACCGACTAGAAAAAAACCCCTCTCGTTGTTTTCTACTCTGATAAATCATTACTTATATATTTTAATCATTTTGGCGGTTTTGGTTCGTTTATTGTCCCCCACTCTTTCCCTCGCGCTCGGGAGCGCGGCGATTTTTTGGAGCACCCCCCCCCCGCAGCCCCCTAGAAGGGGGCTGGTTTTTGTTGGACGAGGCTTTTTTCTCTTTTTCTTTGGATAATTT